TGAATTGACATTCCTATGGTAAAAACTAAAGGTGATGGCATATTTCAAAGAAAATTACTTTGAAATAATTTTATATAAAAAATAGAAATTGAGGCAATATATTAATCAATAAATCTGAAATCTGTTTTGAATAATTATATTACATGTTCCTATGCTGTCTAACGTTTTATATTATTACTAGTTGGCCTGTGCGAAAAATTCGCAGATAATTTTGTATAGTGAAGAAATAGCAAAACAATATGAAAATAAGTAGTTCCTATGTATTATGTAAGAAAGGAATTAATATCTTTTCCTTAGTCAATTAAAATATTCCATTAAACATAATGGACCAAAATATTTGTACAAATTACTTTGCTAGGACCTATTTTTAAACGCTGACTGGAAAGATAATAAAAGTAATAAAGACAAAATAATGCCCCGATTATAGGATATTCTAAATTATTAAAAAAAATATAATGTAAGAACAGACAAATGTCTTTAAGAAATAATAAAGTTAATATAAAAGACAGAAAAAAAATTTTAGTAGACTATTCTACTCCTAAATGCAATATCTTTAAACAGGAAGACATTATTAAGTATACCAAAACTAATGGAATGTATCTTTGTTAATAATTGTCCAATTTTTACGATTTTTTTTTTAATTTTGTAGGTAATTTAGTAATCGTTCTAATTATCCTGGGTAGAATCCAGAAAAAATTGCATACTTTTTGAGTTATTCGCAAATAAAGTTTCTTTTCATCCATAACTTTTTTCCAGAAATTTCGGGGGGGGGGAGTGGGACTATTTTTCGCATGTGCAGTAGAAGAATATCTTCAAAATGAGTGGTCAATCATTGGATTTGATGAAGAATTGACGAACTTATGGCGTACCGACAAAAAAACACCTTTTTGAAATAATATATAGGATACTATACTATATGCATAGCGCTCAGTAACTGTGTTAAATGTATGTCTATATCAATTAAATTAAATTTTAAATTTATATGTAAAAAAGTTTTGCATATTGGGAGCGGACTAACTCAGTGGGTGAGCAATGACTTCCACAGCTCAAGGACCAAAAAAGTATATAATTATGGTTTCGTTCTTTATAAGATATGAACGCCTGGAATAAGGTTATTGAGTTTATATAGGAGCGGATCGTATATTTCATTTTGGGGGAGTACTTTAATCAGGGGATGCTTAAAAGTGGAAAAAATGCTTTCACAGGAAAATTACTGATATTTTTTCTTGTAACATGCTTACATTTAGTAGTCGTCTAAATATTATAATTTAAAAAATAGAATATATCGTGATTATTTAAGTATTCACCTTAAATCCGTCATAAAAAAACAAATATGGACTTATGAAAAAAAAAAAAGTTTCCTCATCCCCATAGAACTTCCAGTGACTGCATGGATATATTGGTTTTAAAAATATATTAGCATATTTATGATGAATTAATCCCTAAAGTGGATGGTTTATCTTGTTTGTAATATGTCTACAACTATATTTGTTAACTCTTATTGAAACTAGCTTAATATTGTGTTTGTTATTGCACTGTGAAAATAGAAGAAAATATTCATTATCGGCATATTTTGTTGTATTATTTTAAAAAAGGTAATCGTGCTTCAGAAGCTCGTAGAAAAATTGGCATTGTTTATTGGGATGATGCCTTAACCGAACGCACCTGTCAAAATTGGTTTGTCAAATTTCATTCAGGAAATTTTTACAACAATGATGCTCAACAGTCTGGTCGCTTACATAAAATGAAACGAGCAATGTTAGGGCCATTGATGATCAAAATCCCATCCAATCACAGCGAGAGATTGCTATGGCCCTAAATGTGACGCACACAAGCATAGAAAACCATTTTCAAAAGCTCGGCTATGTTCCCAGGCTTAATGTTTGGGTCCCTCACATAATTTTTTTTTTTTTAAATAAAAAGAAATGTTTTAACTTCAATACGACTTTTGCCACCAACAAGAAATTTAGCAGGAATTCTGAGCCACATAAACTATACAAAATGATATCAACAGGTCCTTCGTAAACAAACTACAAATGGAGATAAACAATAAAAACCTATAAGGAGTTTTTATTTATTTATTCCTTATGTAGGCATTAAATGAAAAAAAATTATTCCACGGCTTTGAAGAGCAATAATTCAGCTTTAGAATGAATATAGTAACATCGAATTTGGAGAACATCCTGAAGAGTTGTGAATGATCGGAAGGGTGTTGTGTTCCACCTTATTGGTCACTTGCAATCAATTATTGAGCCATGGATGGGACCTTTTGCCACACCCTCCCAATTCACCAGACCTAGCTCCAAGTGACTACCACTTATTCCGGTCTCTGCAGAACTCCATGAATGGAAAGAAATTCCAAATGGAAGAGGACATCAAAAACCACTTGGATCAGTTTTTTAACAATAAACTCCGGACATTCTATGAACATGGCATTATGCAGTTAGTGGAAAGATGGGAAAAAGTCATATTAAATAATGGCCAATGTATTGTAAATTAAAATAAATTTTATGTCTATAATACATTGAGTTTTATTTCATCCAGAAAAACCGAAAGGACTCATTTGCCAACCCAATAGTTTTGTGCCCAATGCCATTAACTACAATGTATTTTATGCCACTAGGTAATCATCACTGATATAATTTATGAATTTTTTTTTTCTGTAATTATAAATATAAACTAAGTAAATCGATGCAATTCCCACTAAACACATTATGTCCCAAGTTATTATCTTTAGTTAGGTACTACTCATGTTTTTTCTATTACTATTTTATTGTCTCTGTTTACATGGTATAAGTGTGGTCTTATCACACTATAACCATTTTTTACATGACAGGATGTTATATTACTAAATAAATAAATAAAATAATCATTATCTAGTATTCTAATTCATAGAATAATCAGTAAACATTTAGAATGTTATGGAACGCTTTAGAAGTAGATATTTTACATTGTTGGACCAGTTCCTCCCACCAGTAGTAGTTCATAATAGACAGTGTTTTAATTTTGTCTCTATTGTTTTTCTGCCTTCTAATCTTTAATTGGAACCAGGATATCTAACCTCCTATTTGAAAAAAAATAGAGCCGAGAATCTTATTTGAATTAAAGTTTATACAGAAACATTTAAAAAAATTCATTATTATTCACTGCAAATTAATTTCAAATAGTCAGTGTTTTAATCTTTTATCTATTGTTTCTATGCCTTCTAATTTTTAAATGAAACCAGAGTATCTATCTGATAGTGTCTCCTATTTGAAAAAAATGGAGCCGAGAATCTTATTTGTATTAAAGTTTATACAGAAACTTTTATTTAAAAAATTTAAATATTATTTATAGCGAATTAATTTAAAATTCTTCTCTGAATCTTTCAAAAAATAATTTTAAATCCGTCAAAGTTTCTTTGTAATGGAACGCTGTGAAGCTGCCAAAAAATTTGCTCATTGCAAAGAAATTTGCAGATCGCAAATTTAATTTTTTATGTCCAATTTTATGTTAATAAATAATAATAAGGTTTTTATAATACAAATAAAAAAAAACATATTTATTAATATTAATCATTTAAACAGAGTAGATTTGTCTTAAATTTTTTTTGTGGTTATATGATCAATTGGGATGAGAATTTCAAAGACAAGTAGACAGGAACTTAATTACCAAATTACTTACTGTCTTTTTATTTTATTAAAAATTTCATATCTATTTCAGTTGGTGATTATCTCTGGACCTTGAATGTCTTCATTACAAACTAAAATTATTGTGTTATAGAGATTTTAAGACCTACAGATAAGTATCAAAATAATTAGGCAAAAACTATTTATAAAGAAAATGAAAAGGCATGAAAAAAATTAAGCTTAGTAAAACACTTAAAATTTAATATCCGATTTTTCGATTAAAATAGCTGACACTCATTCGAGGAATTAAAACTACCCAATTTAAGGTTTTGTAATAATGCCAAATTAATTTGATCAGTCATAATTCAGAAAAAAAGAAATAAATATACCTATCTAACTGATATTAAAAAGCAAATAAAAAATATAAGTCACACTGGACTAGTGGAACAAGTAAAGGAGACCATTGTCTGTGATAAAGGATTTGACAATAGGTTCAAAACTGGTTTAGATTCACACTCACATGGCATCTACAAGAGGAATAATTCACTATTATTTTTACCTTCATCGCATTACGTTTTTTCTTATCCATAAAAAGTAATTATTTTAAGCTTAAGGGTATTTCTAATATTTTTAAAACTAAGTATGTTTGTAATTAACATAGTAATGAATTGAAATATTAATTCCGATATTAGTGAAGGAAATTATAAATTTAATATTTTACAAAAATGAATCAGAAAAATTAATTTTAGTCTCATTATAAATAAACATTCGGCAGAAGATAATGCTGACACCAAAAGATAAGAATATTGACCACTAAGATAAATAGTGGTCCATTCGGTTTTTTTTTTTTTTTTTCAATTTTTATCTATCTATGAGGTAAGAGTTTTAAATAATGAAAACATTTGAACTAATATAAATTAGTTATCACCTGAAACTGCCTTATGCAATATTTTCCAATAAATTAGAAGTAAATAAAAATTATTGAAGCTAAATCAAGAATTAATTAAAAATATATTATAAAACTTTTAGGAATATTTTAGAGGAATTTTGAAATTATGGAAAGGATAATTTTATAAAAATAGTAATATTTAAAAATATTTATTAACCAAGTAAATAAAATTCAATTGACAAATTATTAATTACAATTAAATTCACTAGGTAACTTAACTATCTTTAATACTGATATTTTTCAAAAATATAAAATTATTATAGATGTAATTAAACAAATTTAATAATTCCTAAAGGATAATTAATAATAATACATAGTGATTAATACTTTTTTGGATGTTAAACCATACAATTGATCTTTAAATATATAATGGGAAACAGAAGTACAAGTTCCTTTATTGATAAAAGGAGAAGTAATTAAATTTCAATGAAAATCCAACAATCTTAGTTATAAAGGTCATCATCATCAGCCTCGGGAAAATTACCTGAATCGACAGCTCCAGTTACTCCAGCATTAGAAGACGTGGGAAATCTGAAATTGGTTCCAAATCCCCTCGATTGATGAAGTGTCTGTGCAAACATCTCATATTTTCTAATGTCATTGTCTGTGACAGAGCGTCTTGCAAAGCGCATCGCTTCTTCAAAATGCTCCCTTGTTATTTCTCTCACTGGATCTTCATCATCTAACTCCATGTCAACAAATCCATCCTTTAGCAACTTCCGCTGTTTCTTTACTTCTGCTTCAATAGACTGCCTAATGGCAAGTTTACAAGCTCGTTGGCAAATTTCAGTGATATCAGCACCAGAATAGCCATGAGTCATTTTCGCAATATAGGGTAGGTCAACATCTGCTGCAACAGGGGATTTTCTCAAGTTTGCCTTAAAGATGGCTTCTCGGGATTTCTCATCTGGCAGTGGGATGTAAATCAATTGATCCAAACGTCCTGGTCTAAGTATGGCAGAATCAATAATATCGGGCCTGTTTGTAGCACCGATGATAAAAACATTCTTCTTGGCTCCCATACCGTCCATTTCAGTCAAAATCTGATTGATAACTCTATCTGCTGCTCCTCCTGCATCACCTACACTTGCTCCTCTTGACTTGGCTATCGAATCAAGCTCATCAAAAAACAGCACACAAGGAGCAGCTGCTCTGGCTTTGTCAAAAATATCTCGAACATTGGCTTCAGATTCCCCGAACCACATTGTCAGTAGCTCAGGGCCTTTGACAGAGATAAAGTTGGCTTGACATTCATTAGCTATAGCTTTTGCTAATAATGTTTTGCCACATCCTGGTGGCCCGTAGAAGAGGACTCCTCTTGATGGCTGCATTCCAAACTTCAAAAACTTCTCTGGATGTTCAACTGGATACTGAACCAACTCTTGTAATTCCAATTTGACACTATCCAATCCACCGATGTCATCCCAGTTGACATTTGGTACTTCCACCACAGTTTCACGGAGTGCGCTTGGGCTACTCTTACCCATAGCATATCGAAAATCATTCATGGTTACAGCCAAGGAGTTCAAAACTTCAGCGTCAATTTGATCTTCTTCTAAATCGATCAGATCCATCTTTTCCCTAATCTGTTGAAGTGCAGCTTCAGAACATAGAGAAGCCAAATCTGCACCAACATGACCATGTGTTTCCATAGCTATCTGTTCTAGATTCACATCATCTGCAAGTTTCATGTTCTTGGTGTGTATGCGTAGAACTTCTAAACGTCCAGTGGTATCGGGGATACCAATGTCGATCTCTCGGTCAAATCGGCCAAACCTTCGCAGAGCTGAATCTATTGAGTTTGGTCTGTTTGTTGCAGCCATGACAATGATGTGTGAATTTTGCTTCAGACCATCCATCAAAGTAAGAAGTTGTGAAACGATTCTTCTTTCCACCTCACCGTGTGTTTTATCTCTCTTGGGTGCTATAGCATCAAGTTCATCAATGAATATTATGGCAGGAGCATTCTTTTCTGCTTCTTCGAAAGCTTTTCTAAGATTGCTCTCAGACTCTCCTGCTAGTTTGCTCATTATTTCAGGACCATTTATCAAAAAGAAAAATGCTCCAGTTTCATTGGCTACAGCTCGTGCAATGAGGGTCTTACCTGTACCTGGAGGCCCATAAAGGAGCATTCCTCGAGGAGGTTTAACTCCTATGGCTTTGAAAAGACCAGGATGTCGCAAAGGGAGCTCGACCATCTCTTTGATTTGTGCCAATTGTTTCCTACAACCTCCTATGTCATCATAACCAACTGCATTGAGCGCCTCTTCTTCTTCTTCTCTTTTGATGCAGCCACCATCACAGTGGATCACTGTCTCAGGGGCTACGATGCAGAAAGGAACCGGATCAGTTTCAACAACCTTAAATTCCACAGCTCTCATACCTCCACGAACGATAAATGAATCATCTTTGTGTATGGGTCTGTAAGCTTCTAAGAAGTATGGTTTCAAAAATACCTCAAATAAATTACCTGTGAGACCAGCAACTGTATCATCAATTGGTAAAACATGAATTCTTTTGCCATATTTGACAGCTGGGCAGGCTTGAACTGACACAATATCTGTCAAACGGACTCTCAAATTACTTCTAACGACACGGTTCATTCTTATCTTTTCATCAGGACAAGTTTCATCTGATAAGACTATACACACGGTTTCTTTTCTTCTCTTACCTTTTAGTTGAACCGTGTCACCTCTAAATAAACCTAACTCATCCATTTTGTTCTGAGATAGAGCGACAACAGAATTATCGTCGTTTACAGCATCTTCGACAATTAATCTGTTCGGCCTCTGTTTCCTTCGAAGAATGGCCATTGAAAGATCCTGAGTATTATCCTTATCAGTCATTGTGAAATATATATGTAAAGTATTCGATGAACTTAATAAACAGCTCCACTGAACGAGTTGTAAACTAATATAATTATATATGGCAGTAAGCGATCCACTGAACTAACCCCAACTCACTAAAATAAATTACCTTGACAACACAAGACCAGAGCCGGATCACAAGACTGAAACCATATGACGCATTTTGCCACCTCATTCAGTGTTTCCTACATCTGTACAGTGTTGCCAATCGGCTAATTTATTTCTTAGAAATAAGACCGTTAATCCATTTCCAATTAAATTATCAATACGATTTTCTCATAACATCGTTATTATGTTTAGTTTTACAGTTTATAGCAATCGCGATGTATAATATGAATTCAAACTATGAATCAGCCAAATCGATGACTAAGCAGAATGGACACGAACTCAAAATAGAATCTTTTTGTTAAATTTATAAAATCACACAAAGGAATTCGTTATAATAATGTTCTCGTTTAATATTGTTAATTATAAAATTTATAACAATGATAACTTATAGAATTATTAGCCTTCGGTAGCGATGAAACAGCTTCCAGTTTTACTTTCTTCAATAATGCAAGGTCATTGTTTTCAACCCTTTGCTGCTATTAACCTCAGAATTTGTCCCGTTTGTTATTTAAATTATTTAATAGTAATTTTATTAAACTGTTTTATCGCAGTCGCAGCTGGTTATCTTGAATCACCGTTTATAAAAATAAAATGTAGTTGTTGGAAAGTATTTAATAAATAAAAAACGTTATTCTAGACGAAACTTGGAAATGTAAATCACAGATTCATCTGCCCATATTATTAAAACTGAATAGGTAATCACAGGTTTGTAAACACTTTTTCAATTGATGAAACCAATTTCTAAAATACCAGGAGTAATAACCCATATATATTTGGTTTAACTTTAAAAGTAATGACCTGAATACAATTGCACTATTTAATAACTCTAATTAATGACCATTTAAAATTTCAGTGATTCTATTTCATGAACTTCAATTATATAATTGCTATGATAATTTTCATTTATGTTAGCATAGAAATGTAAAGCCAATTCACACTATAACAAGTTAATTTATGGCATAACAATCAACATTTTATATTCTTGAATTATTTATTTATACAACAGTAACTGTTCAGCTGGTATTTTATTAGAAATGTTTTTCCATTATTAATTCCAAATCACTCATTAGAGTAATGAAAAAATATGTTTTTAGAAATGTGGCATGCAAGTTTAAAAAAACATATATTCCTGTTTGGAATAATTTAATAGTAATCATAGGAAATGCCAAATTATCATCGCGAATTGAAATAATTTCAATTAGTTTTCATTTTAATTTAGTAGATAAAACTATGTTCAAATGAAAACTGAAACCTACTTTGACAACCTAATGAAATAAATTTTTTTTTTAATTATATTATATAAAAGCTGTGACTTTAATAATTTTAGATGTCAACCCTATAATCATCTGGTGTTGGTGGTTTATGAATGATATAAAGTTATAATATAAAAAAAGTGGTGCATGTTCTTGATTTTGTTTATTGTTTTAATGAATTCCTAAAGAATTCATTACATCATTAATGTTAAGTGGATATTAATTAAATGTTAGATTACCAATTTTTCTGCCTAAACACTAAAATTTTAGTGATCCACCGTTTAATAAATATTTGTTCATTACATGCATCACGTTAACTTTGGTTATGATTAACTTTAGTATTCAGAATAGATTAAAATATTTCTGATAAAAAAAAAAATAGTACATTATTGCTTTTTATAACATTTAAATACATCATCGTAGTTGCAGTAAGATGAAAAGAAGTTTAATTATTGTCGGTTTAGAATAGTACCGAGTAGTGAGCTAAGAAATTTAACTAAAATTAATCATAAATTGTTCCATATAATAAATTTATTCCAATGATTCGCTTTAAATATTGTTTTTAAAGTATACTTTATTGAAAATTGATACTTTATAAATGCATAAACAAGATAGTATGTTAATGATGAGGTGAAAAATTTAAGATCAGAATAATATTCTAAGGTTTGAGCTAATTTATTAACAACAATGTTTTCTGTCAGCTCATTTTATGTGAATTATTTTATACGGGTGCATGTTATTTTGAATTTTTATTCATTAACTAGTAATGGGTTGTTAACAATATTTTGAAGTTTTTCAATAATTATAACTGTATACAATAGATTCATACTTATTTTTTCAATGCTTGATTTTCAAATAATAGTAGTATTAAGAAGGTTTTGTAGTTATATCCATCTATTATTTTTTAATTAATTAATTGCTTAGTTTGTGCGCATGCTTTCATCTAAGTAACGAGGGACAGAACTATGCAAGGACAAAAAGGGCATTTGCCTTGGTGGCAGAATTTAAAGGGCGGCAAATTAAAAAGAAAAGTTAAAATGAGGAAAAAATATTTAGTTTTATGTTTTGTTGTTTTGTCCTTAAATCAGTCAATGTCATGGGTTGATATTATCTAATGGGGATATTTTTTTCTAAATACATTACCTAAACTACTAAAAAACAATATGCTACCTAAACTATGTGATATCTTGATTTTTATTGGAAGGCGAGAGGTGAAAGAAGAATGGACAGCAAAATTAAGCCTGTCTCTTGTGGCAAAAATCCTAAATCCTAGTGAGTAATAGTGTTTTTTTTTTTAGTTTTGCTAGTTTCTATTCTACAGAATTATAAGTTATCACATGGACTGGATATATTTTTCTTTAAAGCCTTTATGTGAATTTCTTTATAAAGGTTGCTTTGGAATCTTATTAATTAACTTACAATGAGTTATTAATGACATTTGGAATAATTATAAGTACATACGGTAGAATAGCTTTTGTATATTAATCATAAGTAAATATGTTTCTTTATTCTCTTAGGTTCAGATGTGTATTCAAACTACTAATGTATTTATTACTACAGATAACCTACCTTTCAGCTTCTAACTTCTGTCCACTCATAAGAAATATTACTAAGCAAGAATATTAAGTAACTGATGTCATCAATACTTTACTTCAGAGATTGTAGTACGAACGTAGTGTAGATATTGTGAGAGATGAAAATAAATCAAATGAGATATGAAATTATCAAAGATATCTGTATGTTATTAGAGATCTGTAAGAATTGATGACAGAGCTGGATATTGTTGGTAACGGATTAAAAGTAGAAGCTGCAGTAGCTGAGGTGATTATCTGCTCTATGGATGCTTTTCTTTTTTGAATTGAATAATAACTATTACAAAACAATTACATACATTTTTATTTTAAATTGAGAATGTTGATGTTTGTATGAAAAAATTATGGGATTTTAATTGTATTTATTTGTTATCTTTTTTTATTAGGAAGCTTAAAAAATAAATGTTTTCCTTTTCTCAAATGATCTATGTATGGCATTGGATGTTATCATGAATAAAGCAATAAATAATAATGGGTGAAGGCAACAAAAACCAAGTATATGACTACCAAATACTGTTCAGTCTGGCTCATATGTGTTAGAACAAGTGGGCGAATTCGTCCACTTGGATTACTGATGATTGCAGGCTAGCAAATCCCTAAGGAAATTGAGTGGAGGAAAGTTATCATAACAGACCTGCATAATATAAACGAGAAACATTTTCAGCATTTCATTCTCTTTGTAATTTACTGCTATTCAAAATTGTATCATGAATCAGAAATAGATAAAGGTAGTTTTGAAAATCAAATGATAACGAGTTTTGTTGAAGATATGTATTAAAATATCCCATAAATTCAAAATTAGACCTGCATTGTGTAAGTGAGGAAAATGTTCTGCATTTCATCCTCTTTGTAATGGGCTATTATTCAAAATTGTATTTTGGCGACACCGAGTCAAAAACCTATCTCAAAATTTAAATACCATGAAGAATTCAGAAACAAATTTGCTAGATTATTCGATTTTCTTTTACACTACATAGTGTTTCAGCTAATTACTGACCCTGGTTACAAAAGTTTTATTTTTATAAAAGTACCAATACTGCATAATTGTCTCATCCTAATTGATGCCTCATTGTACTTGAATGTATAAATGTTTAAATATTTTCTGTTAGTATGATTAGATTAGAAGAATGTTACAAATGACGATCAATCAGAGCACAGTTTACTAGACTAATTTATATACAATTCTAATTGTATATATTGTAAATATTATTACTTTGTTTATATGGAGTAAAAAAAATATTTATATTTCATATTAATAATTCCGTCTGGATGTTTTCACTTCTATCTTATGGTCTTAAGCACACACTGTAGTATTTTTTTTTTTAAATTTCAGGTTTGTTTTAAGCAATAAAATTAAAGATAAACAAAAAAAAAAAAGATAATACCTAAAAATTGCTTGCTAAGTATAATTAGGTAAATTATGAAGTAGTTTTTTTGTGTGTAATTTACTTTTTAATATCAATATTGTCTTGGAAAGAGAACCATAGGGTTTATTTTCTTTAGGGGAAACATGCCATTGTTATGTTACATTAAATTAAAAATGACAGAAAATGCAAATGCC